CAGTAAGTATGTGTTTTCGACTATGACGAGTTCACATGCACACTCGCATTCTTAGGCGGAAGTATTCACACCATTTATATATTGACAGAGCTTGGATCGCCCTATGTAAAGGAATCCAAGATGGTGTCGGATTCCGGATCCTGGCTCGTGGATTCCGGATCCTGATCCGTGGATTCCGGATTCTGACCCGCGGATTCCGGATTCCTTCTTAATAATAGTCAGTGGATTCCTTGACTAATAGTTACTTTTTATAAAGATTTCAATAACTAACCTGTATAACATCCGGTCAAAATAAGGCTTTATTATATTTTGTAAGAATAGAGGACCTAAAACTGCTAAAGACTGCTGTAAACATGCATGCGGTAGTCTTATACATGTACATCAGTAACCTTTAAACACTTTTAAAAAACAAAACATGATATTAAAGCTTATTACATCAACATAATAACAAGAAACACTAAATGTCAATATTACGAAGCATTATTCATCATTTGGTAAGTTCTGTTACCTAACGTAGTATAAAACGACTAGTCCTTCTTCCTAACGAGCTCATTCCTTCAAGTCTTAATTAATGGTCCTGTTTTTTGTGTTTCAGCAGATACTCTTTCCTGCTCCTCCTCTTCTTCATCTTCACTTTCATCATCCCCGTTAGCAAGCCTACTCAACCGGATGGCTTCATTGGGAGACAAAATAACATTTCAACTGTCTTCAAGTAAGAAATTGTCCACCTTTGGTAAGATGCAGTTCATGCTCATGTATTTTCTAGTAGCCAATTCGACATAAATATTTTGCATCAGTACGGCAAGTCAATAGGGGGACAATTCTCTCCTACGATTATGTCTAACTGCAATTACATCATCTTTTAAGTAGACCATACGCACTCTTATTGTTGTCTGTGCGTTGTCCTCCATGTGCACCATCGGCAACAAAACACGCAGTTGTTACATCGGGTATGTCCGATGGAATTGAGATGACTTACGGACGCATACTCAGGGTGCATGGCAAGGTACCTGTCTGTTAATTCTTTAGTCTTTGAGCGGACATTTGTTTGTCGAACTCCTCTTCCATGTTCTTGGATAAAAATTTTCATCACTCTGCTTCTTCTCGTTTGTCTTCTTTGGCATCCCCACTTCCTTTTTGTGTGGAACATTGTCTGCTGGTCCTGCCAGACAAATTTGGTGGTTCTTCGTTAATAATCTTCTCGGGATAAAATGAATATGGGCCAGTGAAGTAGCTGAAGTGTTTCTCGGGTAAATCCAAAGCATGATAACTTCAACACAGCGAGCTCGCTTGTGTGCGTATTCTGCAACGTATACCTTTGAAGAAAGTCTCTACGCTTAATGTTGTCAGGGCGAATCATGTTAGCCAAGCTAAGACAATTTCAAAATATCGTCTCGTTGTTCGCGGTATAACCATGTCTGGGCCGTTTGTATTTAACTTCTCCGTCCTAACTCTAGCTTCGTCCTCTAGATTAGCAAAGAAGGCAACAACTTCCTGTACAATTCTCAGGTGGTCGTTGTTTATTATGGGTAACTTCTACTGTTTAGCCTTTTTATCAAGCCTAAACAGATTTACGTATTTAGCCATTTCTTGTTGGCAAAGAAAAATGATCCTTCGAGATCCTTATCCATAACAAGCACTTTTGAAACGCCTTGGTACTGAGTACACTCCTTTTGCAGGCTTTTTAATAATTCTAGTGTTCTACATGTTTAAATATGTACTTCCATATATCAGCACTCCTAAAGTTTCACCTCTATAGCTTCATATTAAAGATGAAAAATAACAATGATCGGTTATTATTTATATTTCACTATATGTACTATTAAATTATATCTGAGAATTGAACAACGGCAACGCTAAATATTTATGATATTTAAATCTCAAAGGGATATAAAAGGGTCGATACCGAGGGTGGGAAGGGGGGGGGGGGGTATGGGTCACGCTTCACAATGAAAACAAAAGCTGTTTCACCAATTCACGTATTTTTAAAAAAGCAATTTCACATTTCACGGAAATTCTAATAAAAATAATATAATAATAATATTTAGGTTTATTAATAGTATGCTTAATGCATGGTACAGCATCTACGCTTTAAGTTATCTCACTTCTCTGCCTGATAGTTAAAAACTGCATTATAACTTACATGTTTCAGTGACGTGTACGTGCGACGACCTCCAAAAGGCCTGAGAAATTTTTGCTCTTGTGCAATGCAATCGAGTGACATCGATCATATCAATTATTATCGCATATTATGTCTATTATGACTTTTATAAAATAGATTGAAATAAACAAGGTAAAATCACAGTTCACAAAACAGACATCCTTAATTCTCATTTCACGGAGCATTTTTATCGACAATCACGCCTCACGGCTATAGAACAAATCACATTTCACGACACTAAAGTCAAGCATTTCGCACGAACAAATATTGACCATTCATGACTCACGAAAATGACCCTTTCCCACCCTCAATATCGTCTATTCCGGTCATCACTTTTCTCTCTACTTTGTTTCTTGTGCTCTTTTCCCATTCCTAACTTTTTCCTTGAATAATATTTTATAAATATGTTTCAATTCGACTCAATATCTTGGCAAAAACAGTCAAAAACGATCAGTGTTTCCAACGCACCAGTAATTCGACTAAAGATTCAATTATTTCGGCGAGGTAGTCAACAAATTTGCGCGCTCCTGTTGCGCCCAAGTGCATAATTCAGAGTTAGTTTGTTTGTTCTCATTAACACCATGTAAATTTTATGAGACGGGGATACTTGTATTGCATGAATTTAATGAGATCACGTACGTTAAGGTTTGATGCAGAGGGTTTGATGTGTCACGCTACAAAACCATTATATTTTATAAAGTATGAAAGCTGGATTCCGTATTCCATGATTAAAATAATGGATTCCGGATCCGAGTCAATGGATTCCGGATTCTACGTCATGGATTCCGGATTCTGAAGTGCAAATTTTTGTTGGATTCCGGAATCCGGATTCCTTTACATAGGGAGACTTGGAAGTTAATTAAAATGCAGCTAAACTTTTGGCAGAATATGCTTGTCTTTGTGGTCTCATTGTGGATATCTTGTTGCAGGACTGAAGAAGGTACTATAAATTTTATATTGTCAAAAAATTTTAAAGTAATAAAAGTATTATATGGCAATTAAGGCCCTGTTTACACTATACCGGATTCGCTGGTCACATCTCACTGTCGAGTGTCGAGGGTAAAATGTCGAGGGCGAGGGTAAAAAGTCGAGGGTGAGGGTAAAAAGTCGAGGGTGAGGGTAAAAAGTCGAGGGTAAAAAGTCGAGGGTTAAAAGCACAGGGGGTCCAACTAAGAAAAAGTCGAGGGTTAAAAGCACAGGGGGTCCAACTAAGAGCTGTGTTATGAATATGAATAAAACATTAATTAAACGGTCCAACTAAGAGCTGTGTTAGTCCAACTAAGAGCTGTGTTATGAATATGAATAAAACATTAATTAAACGTAATATGAATAAAACATTATAATATGAAACGTAATATGAATAAAACATTATATTGCACTTACTTGTATAAATCATAAGAGCTTGCCTTTGCACTGAATAGTTTCAAACAGAGCTGCACTTACTTGTATAAATCATAAGAGCTTGCCTTTGCACTGAATAGTTTCAAACAGAGCGCTTATATATCAATATATATATGCTCAGAATGATTGCTTCGAAAGATTGTTCAAATATGGCGAATAAATTGACAAAACGAAAATATTACATGACGTTCCAACGAAAATAACAGCAGGGATTGCGGGCGCGCGAGCAAAAAGGCGAGGGAAGAAATAAATAGAAGGGATGAAACAAATATCACGTGACTTTTTAAAATGCTTCTAGACTATCCGTTTAAGCTTTTTGTGGGTTTTTAAGGCTCAGTCGATGTTCTCTTACATGAACAAGCCTAGTCATTACCAAAAAAGCACTGATCAATCTAATTTATGTGATTTATAACAGCGAGCATTCTTGGCCATTTTCGCGAGATGTGTTCCATAAGTAGCCTGTTCTCGTGACGTATGACGAAATAATAATAAAACTAAATAATGTAAAAAAAAACGTTGGTCGCTACATTTAAACATTTCATATTAGCCGGTATAGCTAAACATTGTTTATTTTCATTAATTAAGCGCTTAGGCGTTGTTGGAGTTGGCAGGAGGCGTTTTGGAATTTTCCGAGAGAACAGGCTACTTATGGAACACATCACACGATCGCATTACCGGTGTTTCATCCCTTCTATTAATATCTATTACCCTCGCCTTCCGCTCGCGCCCGCAATCCCTGCTGTTATTTTCGTTGGAACGTCATGTAATATTTTCGTTTTGTCAATTTATTCGCCATATTTGAACAATCTTTCGAAGCAATCATTCTGAGCATATATATATTGATATATAAGCGCTCTGTTTGAAACTATTCAGTGCAAAGGCAAGCTCTTATGATTTGTACAAGTAAGTGCAATAATTTAAATATATTACGTTATAATGTTTTATTCATATTACGTTTAATTAATGTTTTATTCATATTCATAACACAGCTCTTAGTTGGACCCCCTGTGAATTACATGACACTAGTGACTAGATACAAATTCGAGGGTAAAAAAGTCACAAAAAAATACAAATTCAATATTAATGTCAGGTAACCGCTTCGGATAACGTATCTTCAGTAGGGGCCCATAGTATTTCCTGGTTCATTAGCTCATTCCGTCCTTAACATCCTTAACATCCTTAAAATCCTTAACATCCTTAACATCCTTAACATCCTTAACATCCTCAAGGAATTTAGGAAAGAAATTTTCCATGAAAAATTCCATAAAACATTTCATGGAAAAAATTCCATGAAAAATTCCATAAAAACTTTCTTTTTCAGTCCCTTTGGTCCTTTAACCCCTTCAGCTCTTCCGACCTTAAAAAATTCTTTTTTCCATTTAAAAAAGAATTTGTCAAGTATTTAAGAGAAAACTATACGTATGATAAATAAAGAAAGATGGAGAATCCGAAAGGGAGTTTTCGTAAGGAAATTAAGAGACTTGCATCGGAGCGTAAGAAGCGTCGTGAACGAAATGAGAGGAATTTAAGGAAGGAGTATAAGAATGCGGATGCATCCCACTGTGTATTTCCGTATATCGGTATTGTAGATGATGCTGGTAGGGGTAGACCGGAGAAAGCGGTGGAAAGATTAAGGGAATATGCAGAGTTAAGGAATAAGATGATGTTGGTGACGGAGGAAGCACTGGTTGAGGTTAGGAAGGTTATCAGGGAAGAGGTAAGACCTAAACCGATGACGGTGGTTCAGTTAAGGACGGTATTTAGGAAGGTTTTAATTCCTTACGGTTGTAATCCGAGGAAATCTTACATTTTGGAGTTGTATAGGATAAAAGTGGCGGAACCTTCACGTTCTGTGTTGGAGATTGAAAACATGATGGCAGTAGAAATGAAGAGGGAACTAAGTCGGTTAGGGTTAGACTTTCTAACGAATACGAATAAGACGGTTTTGAAAAAACTTCTCGTGGAGAATGCGGTATCAAATCAGGATCCGAAACCGTTTGAGTGGGATTATCATCTTAGTCGATATTGGATTGGGTTAAGTCGCTGGTATACAGTTAGTGGTATAGAGTTAGAATCATTCACGTTATGGCCGGAAAGAAATTAATTTTTTTTTTTATCAACGTCTTATGTAAATATAAAGTACTATAAAAAACATATATCTTCGATCAGTGCGGAATTTCCTTACGAACGTATACTCACTCATTTTTCCCATACTCATTCGGAGTATGGGAAATTTTTTTTTCAAGATTTAAATGTCTTTCCAAGACGGAACAAAAATATATATCTTTTTCGAAGATGATTTTCGTGGGAACGTTTGTGAACAAAGAAACCGGAGACGAATACAACAAGACTGCCGAAATTCGGTTCTTGGATTCTTTTAAAATGGCATCGTCCTCGTTGGATAAACTTGCAAACGGATTGGATAAGGAGACTGATTTTATAAGTTTGGATCGGTATTGTGATAAGATGGAATACACGAAAGAACAACGAAATTTATTGAAACAGAAAGGAGTGTATCCCTACGAATGGATGGACGGTCACGATAAGTTCGACGTGATATGTCTTCCTCCCAAAGAGGAATTTTATAGTGGATTAACGGGTGAAGATATCAGCGACGAAGATTACGAACGCGCAAAAAAAGTATGGAAGGTTTTTAAAATGAAAAGTATGTTAGATTACCATAATTTGTATTTGGTCACGGATACGTTAATATTATCGGACGTGAATGTATGAATTTATCGAAAAGGGAATTCGCGGTGGTGTGATTACGGCAGTGATGCGATACGGAGCCGCCGATAATAAGTACATTGGTATTTCAGATATTCCAGAAGGTGTTATAGAACTGATGAAAGACCTGAATGTACGAATTCGGAACGATCCGACAGAGATCAAGGAAAAAGTGTTGGATTTTGAAAACAGACTCTGTGTATTTTTATGGGATTACGGTCATGAAGAGGACGATAAAGTCATGACGTACGTGAGTAAGAATTTAACGCGATGGGTTACGGAACTCCGTAATCGGAAGACCGACGTTCCGTCCGTATTTATTCCGTATCTGGATGCAAATAGTTTGTACGCCTACGCCATGAGTCAACCCTTACCCTACGAAGATTTCGAATGGATGAAAAACCTTGAGAATTGGGACCGACTTTCAGAGGGAAAAGGTTGTTTTCTAAAAGTAGATTAAAAATATCCGAAAGAACTCCACGACTTACACAGTGATTATCCGCTGGCTCCCGAAAGGATAGTGACGGAAAGTAACATACCGAAATTAGCACCGAATTTAGGGGATAAAAAGGAATACGTCGTTTACGCAAGGAATTTAAAATTTTATTTGGATCACGGGATGGTACTGGAAAAGATTCACGAAGGAGTCATGTTTTCGGAAAGACCGTGGATGGCGGAGTACATTCATATGAACATCGAACTTCGTAAAAAATCCACGACAGATTTCGGAAAAGATTTTTACAAACTGATGTGTAATGCTATTTTTGGAAAGACAATGGAGAATGTGAGAAACCGTGTCGATATTCGTCTGGTGAACAGCGAAAAACGTTGGAATAGATTAGCGTGTGGAAAGGATTTTGACAAGGCGACGATCTTTTCGGAAGATTTAGTAGCATCTCATATGAAAAAGACCGAGGTTTATTTAAACAAACCTATTTATGTGGGTGCTGTCATTTTAGATCTGAGTAAATTACACATGTACAAATTTTTCTACGATTATCTCAAACCGAAATTTGGGGAGAACGTGAGATTGATGTATACGGATACGGATTCGTTCATTTTACACGTGAAAACCGAAGATCTTTTCGAAGATATTTCGAACGAAGTAGACGAATGGTTTGACACGAGTAGTTTTCCAAAATCTCATTCGTCTGGAATCCCATGTGGAAAGAATAAGAAAGTATTGGGGATGATGAAATTCGAAACGGCTACGGAACAGATAACCGAATTTGCTGGTTTGCGAGCGAAACTGTATTCGTTCAAGTTGGATGGTGGTAATGAAGAAAAGAAAGCCAAAGGAATTAAAAAGGCGACGATCAAGAAAACATTAAAATTTGAGGATTATAAAAACTGTTATCTGACGGGTAAGAAACAGTATCGCGAAATGGATACGATCCGTAGTCGAAAACATATCATTCATACGGAACGAATAAGTAAAGTCACATTATCTGCCGACGACGATAAAAGATATATTTTAGAAGATGGAACTCGTACGTTGCCCTGGGGTCACAAAGATATTTCCGAACATCATCGGAACGTGGAAAAAAAAAGATTTACACATCCTGCAAACAGAACTTAACGTAGAAACAGCCCCCAACACGTCCTGCGATCGTAGTGAGTAAGACTTGAATTTACTGACGAATAAATTCAAGTAAATTTTAAGGTTGTCCTGTAAGATCTTGTAAGTAGTACTTGACAGTAACCTAAGTAAATTTTAAGGTTGTCCTGTAAGATTCAAGGAAATTTGAAGGATGTTCTATAAGATCTTACAAGTAAATTTTAAGTAAAAATAAGTAAATCCACCTATATAATAAAATGACAGAACCAAATCCAGAAAATCCGGCCCCGACGACAGTGACAGATCCAGTTAAAACCAGAGTGAAAGATCCGCGTAGAGTTGAAGCTGGAAAAAAACTGGCGGCAATCAGCCAGCAGGCAAAAGCGGCGAAAAAAGCAAGATTAGAAATGGAACGAAACGGACAACAACAGGAGGAAATTAAGGAAGAAAATAAAACATCGATGTTTTCATTGAATAATGTATGCATGGTCTTAGGATTGGGAATAGGTCTTGGATCCCTCTATCTTGCATGGCAAAGTAGTTGTGAAAATAAGGAAAAAAAAGATGATGATGATGAGAAGGAGGAAAAAAGTATTGTGGAAAAAGAGGAACCGACGGAAAAGGATTCCGAGAGAATACCTTTCGACAACCGGTTTGATTGAGAATTTTAACGGAAGTCATCAATATCTTATAGAAAACTCTATACGATATAAAAGATGAGTATTCAGATTTACGGTAACTCGGCGTTAATCGGGAACAAGAAGATTTCCGTTATCGAGACCGACGATGGAACAATCTATTTTGCAGCGAAAGAATTTGCGGTCGCACTCGACTACGTCAATCCAAATGATGCTGTTACCAGACTCACGAGGGAAAGAATGAGGATTGCATTTAAGGATATTGAAGGGGTGCGGGATTCCCGCACCCCTTGTATACCCGGTGGTTTACATCCTAACAAAATATTTGTTACTGAACCTGGTATGTACGGCTTATTATGAGATCCAACTTACCAGCCGCCGAAGAATTCCAGGACTGGATATCTGAAGACGTTCTGCCCTCCATAAGAAAAACAGGAAAATATATGCTGCCGGGAGTGATGCCGGCCATCAATAATGTAAAGGATGAGGGATTACGTCAGCTTCCCGCCCCCGAAAAGGTAGAGGCGCGGGATAAACTTGTTTGTAAAAGTGATATCGTTAAGAATCAACGGAAAGTTGAATCCGGTAGAAAAGGTGGATTAGTCGCACAGGAAAATATTAGACAGCTTAAAATAGAATTAAGTGAAAAGGAAATTATATTACTTGAAAAGGAAATGGAGATTTTGGATTTTGAGGAAGAACGGGGTGATCAGGACGAAAATATGGACGACCTTCAAGAAAAAGTAAAAGATTTAATGACTGAAAATTAAAGACTCTGGATCGAGAATGAAAAACTTACGAAAGACTTAGAAAAAGCAAACCGTGAACTGGACGAAATAGAAAAATTATGTCAGTCGTAAAAATAATTTTTTTTTTATTTCTCGTAAGAAATAAAAGAAGATGTCTGATACAACGAAAAAAGAATTTCGGGTTTGCAATTGGAAAAGGGGAATTACTAAACTTAAGGAAGAAGTACTGAATCTATTGACTGAAGTAAAAGCACTCGAAGAAGAAGATGAAAAAATCAGGGAAAAGTTGGAAAAGGTGAGACGCGGAATTAACGAGATAAAAAATATGTCAGTCGTAAAAAATTTTTTTTATTTCTCGTAAGAAATAAAAGAAGATGGATAAGAAAGAGATAATTAATGATTTTTACGACGCAGCCTTACTCACCACGGGTGTCGTAGGCGTATCCTATGTTGCAAAAACTATTTTTGGGAAAAGTTTGGGGGCTCCGATGACGATGGAAGGTGCGATGAAATTAAGTCTTGCCGTGGCAGGAAGTTCATTTACCGTGGCGTATTTAAAACACAAAGGATATGTTCCTAAAATAATTAATAAATGACAACCACCAATTTAATCGTCGGTGGATTATTTAATGCCGTTGCGTTTGCGGGAGCAGGATTTTTATTTTCGCATTTAAATCAAAATGGATACAAAGAAGAAATCAGAAGACATAATCGTGCATTAGAAGAATTAGCCGAGGCGAAAGAAAAATTTTACGAATCCGAAGTCAAAAGACATAACCAAGAATTACGACGACGTCAAGAAATTTTAGACGCGAATCACGATATTGAAGAGACGAATAAAGCATTAGAAGAATTAAGAAATTATAGTCGTCAACAAGATTTATCGGCCTCGGATCGAAAACCAGAATTCGAAGATTATTATCAACCGTCGAATGAAATGCAAAAATATATGTATATAACGATGGGAGTAGTAGGTCTCGGTAGCGGATACGTACTGACGCGAATTTTTTAAGTTGACGTAAAACTTAAAAAATTACGTGACCAGAAAACATTTGAGAACCGTTGATTTTTTCCGGACGGATGAATTTCCTGCCGTATCGATATTTCTAAATTTTAATCCGAAGATGGTAATTTTTTTAGTGGACATGTAAAAGAATGAGAACGTCGTACGAACGATGCTACCCGTTTGTGTTTCGGTAAACATGACGACATTTCCCGTACTTCCCGCGTAAAATCCGTACGTGGGAGATTGTGTTTCCTGATTAATACCGCCACCACTTACTTTAAAAATAATGAATTTTGTATTTTTCTGATCGGTTGCCGAGACGGTGGTGGTTTCGCGAAATCCCGGTGGATATCCAGAAAGTTGTGTAAGATCGTATTGAACGGGTGGATTTCTTCCGATGTCGTTCAAGTCGATCAGTTCGGTTTTATTTTTTTGAATTTCGGCCGTATTTCTCTGTTGTGTTTTTTCGATGTCTGTGACTTTTTCTTCGAGAATTTCTAGATCCTTTTTTGTTGTATCGAAGTAATCATATCCCATAAGAATACTCATTATTTATTATATTCTATTTCCATAGAAAATAAGCAGCTCCCATTGAGATAGCAGTCATAATTCCTAAATTTAATGTTTGTGGGTCTTTTGTTGGTTCCACTGTGGGGGTTACAAGATTTGCTGTGGGACTTACAGGATTTATTGTGGGACTTATAGGATTTATTGTGGGACTTATAGGATTTATTGTGGGACTTATGTGGTCTTTCTCTGTAAAATTTACTTTTTCATTCTTTCCAAACTCATTCCATTTTTAACGATCGTTAAAATATTATTATAGCCGGCCAATGGTTTCTTTAGAATTTTCATATCGGACGGGATTAAAATGAGGCCTGGCATGAACGCAAAATTTAAGACGACGTGTGTATCGGTGATCGCCGTTCGCATATTTCGAATGACCGTCGTAATATCATTTTGGACAATACTATCTTTTAAAACTTTTCGAAAGACGTCTTGCGTCTGTAAACTTTTTACACCTTGTTCCGTAATAATCCATCAGGTTTTCGCTTGCGCTCCAAGAATAGCATACACGTAAACTTCGAGAGATTGTTGAAAAAGACGTTGTCCTAATTTCGTTAATCCGCGCGATGTTTTCGGAATGAAAATTTTATGATCTTCCGTTACATTTTTTGGAAATCTTCCCGTTAAAAATTCGTATTCGATGAACCTTCCACCGTATGGGTCCGTACATAATGCTGACCTCGTATTTTTTTCGCGTATCTGCGGGTAATCCATAATACCACGTTCCTACATTCGCATGGGAAGACAAGGTTCGTCTTTCCCATGTTTCGTGAACGGGCATATATTTTTTCGTAATGTAAAGATCGTCGTCGGTCAGTAAATGATCGAGTAATTTTGGATTTTTCATAAATTTTTCCATTTGATAATGAACGTGAAATTTCACAATGGAGGTCACTAAATGAGAATTGGAAATAAAATTATTTAAATGATTTTCAGAAATTCCAGATTTAAAACGAGGCGACATAACAAGCAGCCAGCGAACAAAAATAAGAATTCTTATGGTATAACAATGGAATCAAGTCTATAAATTTTTCCGTTTCCGTATATTGAGGAGTCGTAAATTCGAGATGAACAGGAAAAGAATCTGTTTCCGAGACGTAAATTTTAAATGTATGTAAATTCATTTGAAATTCTGGATTGGGACGAAATATCGCGTCCGGTGCAACATTACGCCATCCATCTTTCCAATATAAATATTTGGTCCAATGCGGATTATGTAAAAATGTATCGGAAGTAATATCGTAACTTGTCAGTTCGTCCACCTTATAAGTAATTTCGGTCGAATCCAAAATTCCATCTTTTCTAAAGTCGACTTCAAAACCAAATTTACTTAATGTGGCATTGGGATATTTTTTAAAAAAATTAGCTTTTAATTTCTGAATTTCCAGAGGATAAGCTTTTTGTACCTTTTCATAATTTTTTCCGTAATATTGACGGAATAGTTTTTCTTTTTCATTCATTTATATAACGTAAAGTTCCATTAAAATATTTCCCAGTATAATTCCATCGACGTTAGATTTCACATAGAAATGAAGTTCGTGATAGATGCCTGCATCCGCATAAACTTCGCTTTCGATATCATTGTATTTCGTCGTCGTTCCAAATAATGGTTTTGTCCCGTCGATAGGAAGGGATGTGATGATATTACTAGGAAATCCACTAGAATCTATATTTTGAGATCGGTTCGCTAAATTACATCCGACCGTAATGTAACGTAATCCTTCGTAAATATCGACGGAACGATCACTTTTATGTTTTGTGGAAAAAGTTGTGGTATATCCTAATAAATCTCCGAGTCGCCATAAATTTAAAGATTTTATATTTTTTGTGAATCCAATTTTGGTACGTCCGTCGGGAAAATCTTCGACGGTTAATCCATGACTTTCTAATTTTTCTCGTAAATTTTTAAAGATCCAATAGCCTTCATTCAACGTAACTTTTTTCTTATCGATAGAAAAATAGTCGTTGTCTCCTTTTCGAATATTTTGATAATTCCAAAAGACGGCGGCTGTTTTCACATAAAGTTTAGACGTGTGGGTTAATACGAACGGATTTAATAATTTCACCGTCGTCTCTCCATCTTCGATATAAACTGTAATCTTTTTCATTTATATTATAAATGGAAAATTTATCCTTAGATTTAGGTTTACGCGAACTTTATTTCAACGTCAACGGTGGATACATGTCGATGGAAAAATTATATCAAGATGCATTAAAACAAGGTGTCGAAGGAGTCACGCGAAAAAACGTGAAAGAATGGTTACAGACTCAGAATACATACATTGTTCATAAACCGATCCGAAAACATTTTAAAACACAACGCACTTATGTCGATGGACTTGCGCAACAGATTCAAATGGATTTGGTGGATATGAAAAAATCTAGTTATGCGAATAAGGGAAACTGGTGGATTTTAACGGCGATCGAAATTTTAAGCCGGTATGCCTTTGCCGTACCCGTCTATCGAAAAGATATTAAAAATATGGTTCCGGCCGCCGAACAAGTTTTAAAACAATTTCACGAAAGATTCGGACGATATCCAAAAGTGGTTCAGTTTGACGAAGGAACGGAATTTTACAATAAAGGTGTTATAACATTATTGAATGATCATGACATTCATCATTTTTCGACAAGAACCGACAGTAAAAAAGCAGCGATCGTTGAAAGATTCAACAGGACCTTACAAATAAGAATGTGGAAATATTTTACCGAACGTGGATTTACAGAAAAGAAAAAGAAATGGATAGACGTCCTACCAAATTTTGTAAATTCTTACAATCATTCTAAACATCGAACGATCGGTATGAAACCTGAGTACGATGGGAAGAGCAAACCGTATTTTTCCGGGCACTTTTCTCACACCATACGAAAGACGTTTAGGAAGACAAAGTAATAACGTCTCCCCATCCTGCGTACACAATCCTGTTCTTTTTGTACCGGATCTTTCGTCAACAATACTCTCGCCAAATTTGAACGAGTCTTTCGAAAAACTTCTGTGGTCGGTAATTCTTAAATTATCACAAGTTTTTCGACGAATAATATGACCGGTCTCAGAACGGAATATTCCTGACATTTCTTATTTTATTATATACATCTATTTCCTTAAATACTTGAAAAAAATTTCCATACTCCGAACGAGTATGGGAAAAAATAAGAAATGCTGGATCCGAAAGGAAATTCCGGAGATATTTTTAATAGTATTTTATTAAATGGTTGGAAATTTTTTTTTTCTGTGGTTACCATGGAAACTAAATGTTTTGGAGGGAAAAATCCCAACTCCACCTTAAATCCTCACACCACCGTTGGAAATCACTCATCCGCCGGGGACAATAATATTCCATCCAACCCAACCAACGGCGCCTTGACCCTTCTATTACAATACCCTTCTCCCACAACTTTTCTTCCACCAATCTCTTCCTTAAGTTCCTCTCATTTCGTTCACGACGCTTCTTACGCTCCGATGCAAGTCTCTTAATTTCCTTACGAAAACTCCCTTTCGGATTCTCCATCTTTCTTTATTTATCATACGTCTGGTTTTCTCTTAAATACTTAACAAATTCTTTTTTAAATGGAAAAAAAGAATTTTTTAAAATCGGAAGAGCTGAAGGGGTTAAAGGACCAAAGGGACTGAAAAAGAAAGTTTTTATGGAATTTTTCATGGAATTTTTTCCATGAAATTTTTTATGGAATTTTTCATGGAAAATTTCTTTCCTAAATTCCTTGAGGACGTTAAGGATGTTAAGGATGTTAAGGATGTTAAGGATTTTAAGGATGTTGAGGATGTTAAGGATGTTAAGGATGTTAAGGATGTTAAGGATGTTAAGGATGTTAAGGACGGAATGAGCTAATGAGCCAGGAAATACCATGGGCCCCTACTATCTTCTCGGCAGTATTGTTATATAATATGCGTTTCACGCACACACGTTGGGCGCTTCGTCGCTCGCGCTCGCTGCTCGCGTTTCGTTCGAGGCCGACTTGTGGCAAGTCTAGTCAGGTTATTGACATATCCGACATGCCGCAATCCAATGGCTCGATAAACATATTTGGCGGATATCACGCCTCATAAATCTTATAAGTCCTTATACTTGCATCTTGCATTCTGCTCTTTGGCTTAAAATTTATTTGATCGATGTTTCGCTTTCAATTTCGCTGAAAATATCTTTAGACAAATTATGATTCCGATGCTGTACGGTCAGGAAGTTCTGATGAGGATGTAGCCTCTTCTGTAGCCTCTCCTATAATTACAGCTGTTTCAAAAAAGGTTTTCTTTCAAAAATCTCACACCTTAAACTCTGAGACTGAGTGCGCAACTCACGGCGCAAGGTGTACTAGGGTTATTTTCCCAATCAAAAGCCCTAAAAAGAAGTTACTCATCACTCTTAGAGTTTAAGGTTTGAAATTTATCGAAGGACAACCTCGGAATTAGCTGTACTATAATTAGTCATTGTCGATGCTGTTTCTGTTCATGTTACTGTTAATTAGTTAGTTAAATAAATAACAATCATAAAATTGACCAAGTTTCAATTTTATTAGTCATGTTTAAAAAAACAAATTTGCTTGTGGACACATTACAATCTCGATTACAATGGTACAAAATCGAGACCGGCAATGATGACAACAAGTAACTTGACTTCTATTTTAAGCTATTGTTTCGTGTGCACTTTATTTGGAAAATGAAGCGTTACAATTGGAGGCCCGCGATTATTTTGAACGCGGGATTGTTTATAAAGAGTTCTGTCTATAGTATCTTAAAATTTCAAAACTGTAGGTACTCGGATTAAGTGCATATATATATATATATATATATATATATATATATATATATATATATATATATATATATATATATATATATATATATATATATATATATAACACGTTCTACGATAGGGTTGCATATTCTATTTAGCCTAATTTTTAGATAAATGCCTACATATCAGTTCATATCGTCAAAAAACGGGCATAATTTGTTTCCGTCTTGCAGAATCAAGCTAATTTATTAAAAATAGTCCAGAAAAATATCAATTCTGGAACTATTGCAGGGGAATGATCAAATCTGTCCAAATGGGATAGATCCAATGCAATTACAAAACATTTATGAAGGAGTAATTGGAGAAGTGGTTTTGAATGCGTTCAACAGCACTCGTTTTTGAATATATCGAAACCGCCTAACATAACATAAAAAAAAAACTAAACAGTAAATACACACTTTGACTTGACAACAGATTAAAAAACCTTTATTTACCCACTTTATTAAGATACATTATATACAATAAAGGCAATAATATACAAGGAATCTATGGTACGAATATGCTATAATTTACAATAGTTTTGGTTAAGATAGCATCAGCTAAGGGAAATGGAAATCAATTTACCGATTTTAGCGCTAATGAAAATGGTTCTGGATGCATCCAAAACCAATCCCTAGACAAATGCAAACAAATTAGGCAATTCATAGCTCATGAGAATGGTTTTGGATGCGTCCAAAACCAAACCTATAGGAAAATGCAAATCAATTTACCGATTTTAGCGCCAAGGAAAATGGTTCTGGATACATCCAAAATCAATCCCTAGATAAATGAAAAACAAATTAGGCAATTTATAGCTCATGAGAATGGTTTTGGACGCGTCCAATACCAACCCTGTAGGAAAATGCAAATCAATTTGCCGATATGTCCAAAACTATCCAAGAGAAATGCAAACCAATTCGCTGATTTTAGCAAAAAATCTCCAGACAAATGAAAACAAATCAGCCGATTTTAGTGCATTTGGAAATGGTTTTAGATGCATCCAAAACCAATCTCTAGACAAAAGCGAACAAATTAGCCAATTTAAAGCTCATGAGAATGGTTTTGGATGCGTCCAAAACCAACCCTGCAGGAAAATGCAAATCAATTCACCAATTTTAGCGCTAATGAAAATGGTTTTGGATGCATCTAAAACCAATCTCTAGACAAATGCAAACAAATTAGCCAATTTATAGCTCATGAGAATGGTTTCGGACGCGTCCAAAACCAACCCTGCGAGAAAATGCAAAACAATTGACCAATATGTCCAAAACTATCCTGGAGAAATGCAAACCAATTCGCTGATTTTAGCAAAAAATCCCCAGACAAATGAAAACAAATCAGCCGATTTTAGTGCTTTTGAAAATGGTTTTAGATGCGTCCAAAACCAATCCCTAGACAAATTTGCCAATGTATAGCTCATCAGAATGGTTTTGGATGCGTTAAAAACAAACCCTGCAGGAAAATGCAAATCAATTCACCAATTTTAGCGCTAATGAAAATGGTTTTGGATGCATCCAAAACCAATGCTTATATAGACAAATGCAAACAAATTAGCTAATTTATAGCTCACGAGAATGGTTTCGGATTCGTCCAAAACCAACCCTGCGAGAAAATGCAAATCAATTGACCAATATGTCCAAAACTATCCTGGAGAAATGCAAACCAATTCGCTGATTTTAGGAAAAAATCCCCAGACAAATGAAAACAAATCAGCCGATTTTAGTGCTTTTGAAAATGGTTTTAGATGCGTCCAAAACCAATCCCTAGATAAACTTGCCAATGTATAGCTCATCAGAATGGTTTTGGATGCGCCAAAAACCAACCCTGCAGGAAAATGCAATTCAATTCACCAATTTTAGCGCTAATGAAAATGGTTTTGGATGCATCCAAAACCAATGCTTAGACAAATGCAAACAAATTAGCTAATTTATAGCTCATGAGAATGGTTTCGGATGCGTCCAAAACCAACCCTGCGAGAAAATGCAAATCAATTGACCAATATGTCCAAAACTATCCTGGAGAAATGCAAACCAATTCGCTGATTTTAGCAAAAAATCCCCAGACAAATCAGCCGATTTTAGTGTATTTGGAAATGGTTTTAGATGCATCCAAAACCAATCTCTAGACAAAGGCGAACAAATTAGCCAATTTAAAGCTCATGAAAATGGTTTTGGATGCGTCCAAAACCAACCCTGCAGGAAAATGCAAATCAATTCACCAATTTTAGCGCTAATGAAAATGGTTTTGGATGCATCTAAAACCAATCCCTAGACAAATGCAAACAAATTAGCCAATTTATAGCTCATGAGAATGGTTTTGGACGCGTCCAAAACCAACCCCTGCGAGAAAATGCAAATCAATTGACCAATATGTCCAAAACTATCCTGGAGAAATGGAA